GTTAAAGGATTCATTCATGAACGATATGGGAGAAGCAACTTGATCTATAGAGGTAGATCTAGAAATCGCTTAACTCATCCCAATTTACATAGATGAAATCTTGAGAAGATTTCATATCGAGAAACTGGTTTACTCTTAAGCGGTTTGTTGGAAAGGTTCCAAACGTGAAGCAACCGTTGATTTAATAGTAGAAACCTAATACATGATTACTTCAAAAGTAGCAAAGAGTTGAAATTTGGATCATGATGTTCATAAATGAACTTGGAGTACTTCCTGATATTGTTGATCACATGCCATTGTATTGTGATAACAATAGAGTCATTGTGAAAGCAAAGGAACTAAGGTCTCATCAATGATTCAAACATGTATTAAGGCGGTATAATCTCATCAGAAGGATAATGCATAGAAATGACGTAAAGAGAAGAACAAATTCCCATATTTAATAATATTGCAGATCCACTGATAAAGAGTTGTTGTAGCATAAACATGATCGTCATGTAGACTTATGATATTGGATACATAAGTGATTGGATCTAGTGCAAGTGGGAGTTTGTAAGTATTATGCCATAGGTCCAATCAACTTTGGACATAAATACTTTTGATATATAATTAATGCAATTTAATATCAGATCTATTATTTAATTAATAGACAATTAATTAAATAATAGAGTCCGTAGATTCAAATTTTCATAATTTGTTAATCACAAGGAGTTGTAATTGTGAGATACAAATTATATCTGATTGAATCTTAAATCGTCCGTGGTTGTAATTAATAACGAGATACGGATATTGTTATTATGGATAGACCATCACGTGTGGCATTTCTTACTTGTGAAATAAGTAGCTAATCTCACAAGCTAAAGTGTGGTGACACTTAAATGAACACGTGGATGTTTTGTTATAGAACAAAACATTGGAGACCCGCTAAGAGATTCCACATGGATAACTATCTGAGTGTCAATGGTTAATCTCTAACATTTGGTAGTGGAATTGGTCCTATGACTTGAGGTCATCAGAGTGCCTTGTATGAGGACAGTCATGCTTTGACGGTGTTGGATGTTGCTCTGCCAAGGGCCGCTAATACGACATCGTTCGGGTATGTCAAGAACCATATGAAGGTTGTGAATGACCAATAGAGGATTTGTCATTCTTAGATAGTAAGAGATTGTGATCTGCATTTCATTCAATTAAGTCAATAACGAAATCCTTGGCCAAGGTATACATATAAGTCGAAAAGGAGTTTTCGACTCATATTGGCTTAATAGTAGAATGAAAGATATGATCGATAATCGAGATTGACACACTTCCATATCTCGTAGTTGATCGGATCATATTGACGAATGGATTATAGTTTCATGGTGAACGAACATTTTTGATTTTGTCATATCACGTGACATTTTTCGTCACATGTATTGCCCTGATACATTGCTAGATGTCAATCTGGGACATCGAGTGTGAATTTGTGATAAATTAAAAGGGTGTTTAATTTATCAGTTTTGATAAGATCAAAATAATATTTCACGTCGTTAGGCATCATGGTCGGGAACCTGATGGGTCGCACACAAAAGCGAATTGGAAGATTGCAAATTGCCAATTAATTAATTCATCCAATCATTGGATAAAATTAATTAATTGGATTGGTTATTTATAGCCCCGAATTAATTAATTGGATTTATTAATTCACGGACCGAATTTAATTAAATGGATTAATTAAATATTGAACCAGACTGGGCCGAGCTCGTTTGGTTTTCATTATTCTTGCTGGCACAAGAGGACAAATCCTTGCAGTTGCAGTCTATTCTCTGTGTGGATTTCATTGGAGGCTAGACAATTGGACAGTTGTGGGAGGTAGATTCAAGATTGTTGGAACGAAAAGAAAAGCAAAAGGTTTGCAGAATTCCTCGGTGGGAATCGAAATAATTTTAATCTTCCGCTGTGCATGTATAAGTAGATTCCCAACAGCTTGATCCCACAGATTTTTAGTTTGCGGCTCTCTCTTAATTTAGGTCTTCAATTGTGTATTTATAGTGTCTTGGAATATAAGGAACAATAGGTTACTAATTGGGCCTAGAAAATATTATAAAATCAGAATTTTCTTCTGTTTCGGAATGCAGCGCCTGGGCGCTGCATTAATGGCGCCTGGGCGTTGACTTTCTGCTTGTTTTCAGCAAGATGGGCGCTTGGGCGATGAACGATAGCGCCTGGGTGCTGAGGACTACTTCGGTTGCACTGCACAGCTTTCAGTATTTTTATCATAATTTTTTCTCCCAATATCCGATCTAGGCGATTCAAGATGTGTTGGAAAGCTAATTCAAAGGGTTACAACTTTACAACAGACGTCATTCTTCAATTCGATTGTTTTCTATGTCAAAAATGAGTCTCAATGTGAGACCAAAACTCAGGCGCGTAACTTTTCGGTTGGAAAATGATTTGTGATCATATTTTGACTAAATTTGATCCTTTTGACACCTTCATTCATCCAATTGACTCCTAGCACTCTCAAATCTTCATCACGAGTTTCAACATGACTTTTGATTAGTTGCATTTTAATCCTCAAATTTTGGATCTCTTACATTTTGGTCATTTCATCCAATTTCGCTAACTTTTGCCTATTTCCTTCCTTTGGCCTCTTTTAGCTCTTGTTTTCTCCACTTCCATCAATCTACAAAATAACACCAAAATCACTTGTTAGCACTTCTAAAATACTCTCCAAGATAGCAAAATCATGAAATTAATGGCATAATATAATGAGTGTAAATCACTCATCAGTAACCCCATGCTGTTTGATCATCATCAAAGTCATTTTCTCCGAAAACCAATATATTCGGCAATTTTTCGCAGGTTTTGAGCTTGAAACCATTCTCACTCTCACGGTTCTCCTTGAATAAATTGGTTCAATGAGCCTTGGTTTCATCAGATTTATTTTCTTGGGCAGGAGTATTTACCTGATGTGCTGCAGTAGATTTGTCCTCCGATTCTGTATCCTCTTCACCAAGTGTCTGGGATACACTAGGTAATTTAAAAATTTGCTTGGTTGAATTCCTACAAGAAGGCCTTAATAGAATCCACAGGGTTGGATGTGGAACTGCCATTGTTTCAATGTGCTGAAATTCCGCTTGAATTGGATTCGGCCTCAAATGGTAAGTCCCCAGATTTTTGGCCAAGTGCTGGAAATTCGTTTTGGAAATTTCCATGTGCTAGATTATTTTTTTTTGAATTGGATCCAGCCTCAATAGGTAATTCTCCAGATTTTTGGCCGAGTGCTGGATTTGGTAACTTACCAAATACAAGTTGTAACTGCCCACTATTATTTCTACTTGACTTTTTTCCCGTATTTCAAAATGGAAAAAAATGGATACCTTGCAATAACGGCCTGAAATTTGCTCTTTCCAAAATATTTTTCGGCACCACTGTAATTCCGGTAACCCAAACTAGTCGTCAAAAACTGAAGAACCAACAGAAATGTTGCAAATGTAGTGCTGGAATGGATCTATACGGTCAAAACTTGAAGGAACTGCAAGAAAATTATGGAAAGGTGCTGCACTTCCAAATTTCTGGGAGAACAAAACTGATTCTTCCAAGTAGAATATCAAAAACTTGAGCCAAAACCAGACACCGTATCAAGATCTTGCCTTGAAGAAAATCATGGATCTTTAATTAGTTCAACTTCATTATGCCAATAATAATTAATCTAACCATATCAATTGGGCTGAAGATGCCTTTGTTGACACTAAGTTTCATTGGGGTCCTTGTTCATTCATAGCATTTTCAATCTCCGTGATGTTTTATATAGACAAATATATTTTATTGAACCAAACTTGCACTAATTCAAAGCATAATAGTTAGAAATTTAAAGGAATTGCCCCTTTTTGGTATACCTAAATTTTATTTCTATTTTGTTGATGTGATTAATGTAACATTATTAAACATGTTTACGTTATTATATTTACTGTGCATAAATTTCAATAAAATACTATAATTGAAAATAGTGTGATCTAATATAAAAATAAAGAATAAGTATGTTCAGAATCTAGAAAGAGCTCTCAATCAAGGTTAGAGAGATATGCTTTCAATTCTAGTGAGAGAAAATCCCACTGAAGTGCCTTGGCTTCTTGAGACTTTTCTTGTGTTTCGGTTCAATTTTTACTTCCTTTTGGAGAAAATTGAATTTAAACATATTGCATTTTACTTGGTTCTACTTAAATCTGGTTTTTGGAGGGATTTTCAATTCGTTTGTGTTCAGTTCTTCAAAGTTTTTTTTTATCGGTAAATGTAAATATCAATGATAAAAAATGTTCCATATACAAGTACACCGGGCATTCCCGAGCAAATCAAAAGCTAATGTCACATACAATTACTCCAGGCATACCCAGGAGAGATAAAAGAAAGTGAAATGCATAAAAGATCAATGACCCGATTCCAAGGATTCGAAATAGATCAAGACATCCTGATACAAGGTAAACATAACTTTGTATACGCATGTCTTAATCCGTCTCACAATGCAATCCAAGTCGGGTGAGAGGTCTTCGAAAAGCTTCCTATTCCTTGTAAGCCAAATGTAGTATACGGTGCTAGCAAGAGCAATCCTCTTCGCCTTACTTATCCAAGTAGTTCCACGTGCCTCCTTTTTCAACCACTTTAGAGCACTAGCAAGTGTTGACATAGATATCGTAATGCCGAGCTATCACCTAATATTCCCTCATAAGGGAGAAGTGAAGGAACATTTAAAGAAAAGATGGCACAAGTTTCCACAAAATGCCCACAAAAATCACACTTGCGATCAATATCCAAGAAAAGCAATTTTGTCTTTAGTTAGGAGTTTTGATTGGGCCCCTAACCAAAGCATAAAATAATGCTTCGGTGTGATGCACGGTTTCCAAACTTCGGCTCCCCAAGTCTTGAAAGTACCCTTAGGCCTAAAGAAATTATAGGCAATTTTTGTGCTGAATTTATCCCTTGTAGAATAGCCCAGATTTTTGTCGAAAAATTCCAGAAACTGCCTACTGAATGAAGCATTCTGCCCACCTATGATGCTGCCCAGTTACCCCCCAATTCTGTGCATTCCCAGCAGTATAATTTCGGCCAGAAACATCATGCCGAGATGGGGAAATTCCAGCCACCATGTGACCCGACTCCCCTTGCTGTCCACAAGTTAAAAACTGTTGGGCAGCACCATTTACATGAAGAATGTCCCTGATTTCCAGTAGTTTTTTGAATAGTGAAGAATGATCCTTCCAAGGACGAACCTCCCATATGCAAGTCCCATTAAGATAAACATGATGAACCCACCAAACCCACAGTGTCCTTTTTATTGTGAATGTTCCAAAGGGATTTAGCAAGTAACGCTAAATTCCAACTCTTCAAGTCCTTTAATCCAAGGCCCCCTTCCTCTTTTGGAAGGCAAATATACTTCCACGAAACTAATGACTTTTTAGATCCCCAAAGGAATTTTTGATAAAGGCTAACAATCCTTGATATAATTGTAGCCGGAATAGGGAAAATAGAGAGCCACAAACATTCGACTCCTTGAAGAACCGCCCTTATAAGTTCGATCTTGCCTACATAAGATAATGTAGAACAATTCCATGCACCAATATATGTTGTTATTTTGTCAAGAAAAAAAGCATAACAACCTACTTTAAGTTTTTCCGAAGCAAGGAGGATGCCCAAATACCGAAATGACATACTATCCCTCGGAACACTTGTTAATTCCAAGATATCCTCAAGAATCTGTCCATGAGTTCCAGCAGTAAACAAGCTAGATTTAAGAACATTCAACCTTAATCCCGAAGCCGATCTAAAATTTGAAAGGCAATCCATGACAATTTTTACCGACATAACATCTCCCCTAACAAATAGCATCAAATCATCCGCAAAAGCTAAATGGGTGATCTTTTGGGGGCCACATTTTGGGTGAAAATTGAAATCACTATCATCCGTGGCAGCTTTAAGCAATCTTGATAGGTATTCAATACAAATCACAAATAAGAAAGGCGAGAGGGGGTCACCTTGCCGAATACACTTCCTACCTTTGAAAAAACCATGCAAAGTCTCATTCAAAGCTATAGAATATGATGTAGAAGTGACACATTCCATAACCCAATGAACAAATGTCGATGGGAATTGCAACCCATGAAGAACGTCTCTAAGGAAATCCCAACAAACCGAATCATAAGCTTTTGAAAGATCAATTTTTAGGAGGCATCTTAGAGCAATCCTTTTTCCTATTGTATTGCCTCAAGAGTTCTTAGGCAAAATGAATATTCTCCGTGATACTCCTACCTTCCACAAATGCAGCTTGTGCATGATCGACCACGTCTCCCAAAATGGGTCTCAATCTAGAAGCAAGAATTTTAGCAATCACTTTGTAAGTAACATTACAACAATAGATGGGCCTATAATCAACAATATGCGGGGTGTGATCCGATTTAGGCACCAAAGCAATGGCCGTGTGATTGATTTGTTTGAGGATGGAACCCGAAGAGAAAAATTCCATGATAGCCCCAACAAAATCATCACCAATAGTCCCCCAAGCATTTTTAAAAAAAACAAAAAGTGTAACCATCCGGCCCGGGAGACTTTTCATCTCCAATATCAAAAAGAGCATTTTTAATTTCCTCATAAGAGATGTCCCGAATCAAATTGTTGCCTTCTTCCAAAGAAACCAAAGGACCATTAGTAAGAATCTCCATCTCAATAGACCGAGTAGGGCAATTTTCCCCCAGCAAAGAAGTATAGAAATTGACAAATTCCATAGCAACTTGATCTTGTGATGTAGTATACCTCCCATCTTCTTTGAGTATAGTAGCCATAAAATTCCTCCTAGAATTCCTTTTAACGATGGAGTGAAAGATCATTGTGCATTTATCACTTTGCTTAAGGAAGACACATTTAGCCTTTTGGTAATAAAAACTACGTTCCGCTTCACATAAGCCAACGGTCTTCTTCCTCAATTTCGCAACCAAAAGCTGAAAATGCATATTCATGGGCTGATTATGTAGCTGTAATTGGGCAGCCTCTAAATCATTTTTGGCCTCACTTGCTCTAGCCGAAATATGCCCAAAATGCTTAAAATTAAGCTCCTTCAAAGCACCCTTAAGTTTTCTCAATTTCTTGCAAAGGATAACTTGTTTTGCCCCTCACAAGTAAAAATTCCAGCAAGCACTAATCAAACCATTGAAGTTTTCATGCTTGGTCCACATATTAAAAAACTTGAAAGGACTTTTTGCTCTACCAACACGGTCATGTATCGAGACAATGCATGGGGAGTGGTCGGAAAGGCATTGGGAAGGAAGGAAATTTGCTTCAACAAATGCCCCATTTTGCACCCAAAAATCATTGACCATAGCCCTATCAATTTTGCTCCAAACCGACCCATTAGTCCACGTGTAAAAACAACCAATAGAACGCACATATGTAAGAGCCACATTAGGGCAACAATTTGCAAGATCTTTAATTTCATAAGGGGTAACATCCACCCCATTACATTTCTCATCAAACTTAAGAACATTTCTGTAGTCACCAAGAATCAACCAAGGCAACGACACATTTTCATTGAGCTCCATAATGATATTCCGAAGTGGCATTCGGTTAACCATAGTGTGAAATCCATATACAAAACTCACAAGAAAGGTAAAAATAGTTACCTTACAAGTAGCTTTACAATGGATAATTTGTGGATGAACCTCCATCACATCCAAAGAAACTTTGGATGGATTCCACAAAATTAATATTCTTCCGGCTCTATGCATGTAAAAATTATTTACTTACATGAAGCCATCAAACTTATTCCGCAAAATCCTCTTCAATTTTCGGTCCCCCAACTTTGTTTCCAAAATTCCCATACTATCAATGTTATGTAACTTGATAAACTCCCGAATTCCATTTTGTTTAAGGGGTGGATTCATACCCCTTATGTTCCAAGAAATGATCTTCATGATGTTGAAGTAAGGGATGATCCTTTCTTCTCGTCAACTTTTGATCCTAACTTCTTTTTTTCCTCGACTTTGCTTTTAAGCTTTTCATTTCCAGATTTACAAGAAGCTGCTTCAATGGAAGTGGATGATGAATCTACCCTAGATTTTGAGGGCCCAACATGAGCAGATTTATTCGCCCCAAAAGCCCTGTTTTTCTTGGTAATAACCTTCACGAACGGTGCCTCAATCTGCTTGTTATTTTCCACTAGCCGGTCATCCACATTTTCACTTGCAAACTGCCCAGTTTTTCGATTATTAATCTGTCATTTCTGCCCATCCAAAGTCCCGGTCAGTTCTTTCCCCGTTTGTTGCTCATTTGAAGCTGTCTCGGGGGAAGAATCTGGGGACTAAACACACTTTTTTCAGCCTGCACAAATTTCTGTTGGGCAGTCCCCGTGGTTTTTCCTTTTCCTTTGTCCCCACAAGTATGTTTAATGTTGCAATCAATAGTCGTGTGACCAAAAATTTTACAAGAACCACACAATTTTCGTTCATGCTCAAAAATGATTTCTTGTACTCTCAACGTGCCATTTGGGAACCTAATCTTAACCTCCCGCACAAGTTAAATGGACGCATCAACTTCTACTAGAGCTCTTGCAAAAGATATTTGACCCCTAGTTGTTGTAATTTTGTCGGTTGAGATGGGTTTCCTAACCTTTGACAAGATTTTGCCCAAGGCATTCGTATTCTAAAATCCCAAAGGTAGACTCGGTAGGTTTATCCACACAGGCATAGTACTCACGTCCTTGTCATCAAAATGAAAGCAACGTGGCATAACTTTAAGCATTAACGATCTCCTAAATACCAAATAAGGACCCCCATGCAAAACACTAAGTCTATCCACATCTGTTTCGAATTTGAAGGCTAACCAACCACTAGCATGCACAAAATATTTAAAACTCACCTTCCACGAATCGCAAAGTTGGAGGAGAGCCACTTTGCCCGAAAACCGACAAGCAAAGTATCGAACAAGCCCGTATCCCCAAGAATTCTCAATGTTGTCTTCATCCACTTCGTCCAAGACAACTTCATCCGATTGATTTACAAAAGCATTCAACTTTATATTTTCTTCCATTTTCCGATTGTCTTTAAAAAGATTGGCCCATGGGGCTTTCATATCTTTCACAACCCCATTTCCAGCAACATTGACATGTTTATGTTGCTCCAATTCCACCGAATTAGATTCAAAATCCAAAAATTTAGAATCCGTATCATTTTCCCCAAGTGCCAATGAAACACTAGGTGAAGGGAAACTGACCATGTTATTTTCAGCAACAATTTCCATAGAAGAAGTGGCAAAAAATGGGTTATAGCGTATAATCCTTACATTTTAGCTAAATATGATTGTCACATTAAAGTGGAGGTATGTTCTTCTATTAAAACTGTTAAATATCTATACATGTATGTATATAAGGGACATGACTGCATTCATTTTAGTTTAAATAAAGAAACAAACGAACAATTCGTTGATGAGATTTCAAACTACCAAACAGTTATATGGATATCTCCACCTAAAGCTATATGGAGGATATTTAGTTTTGAATTATTCGATATATCTCCTATAGTAATCTCTTTACAGTTACATACTAAAGATGCTCAAATGGTTATATACAAGGAGACAGATGATTTATCAAAGGTTATAAATAAAGATTTTGTTCACAGAACAATGTTTACGAAATTCTTTAGAATGAATATTTCAAATGAAAAGGCAAAAATCTACTGTATAGAGAATTTCCAACCTATTTCGTATGGGATACATCCATGAGAATTTGGAGTCCCAGAAAAAGAAAAAATGTCATTGGTAGAATAGTCAGTGCTAATCCATCTAAAGGTGAGAGGTATTGTTTAAGAGTTTTGCTAAATCATATTAGAGGGCCAAAATTTTTTGAAAATTTAAAAACAGTCAATGGTATTGTTTTATCTACTTATTGTGAAGCAGTACTTTCCCATGGTCTTTTTAGTGGAAATAGCTATTCTGAGATGTGTTTATTTGAGGCAGTTGCTTACCAAATGCCCATATCACTATGGCGACTATTTGCCAATTTATTGAGTTTATCTTGGCCTACAAATCCAAGGAATTTATGGGATAAATTTAAGGATTTCATGGTAGAAGATTATTTACATAAAGGTTTCACACAACAAAGTGCTGAGATGAAAGCTTTACACTGCATAAATTCTTTCTTAGAAGGTGTTGGTAAGAATATAATTGATTTTTCCTTGGTAGATTTTGATTTAACTGTGAATGATGATGATATCTTTGAAACCATGATTGCCGAAGAAACAACCAATATTAATTTATAATCAGACATACATTACAGTAAGAGTTTAAATAAAGAGAAACAAAATACCTATGATATTATTTTGGATTGTGTTTTAAATGATATTTGTACAAGGCATTACTTTTTGGTGTACAATCTCAAAATCTTATCGTACTAGCAACGGCATCATCAGTTGTAGCTACATCTCTATTACCGATTGGTAGAACAGGACATTCAAGATTCAAAATTTCGCTTGAAATAAGTTGTGATATGTGTTGTTCGGTGAGTAAACAGTTTGCGCTTGGTAAACTTTTAGCATTGGCTAGACTAATAATCTTGGATGAAACACCAATGGTTCATAAATATACTTTTGAGGCTTTAGATAAAATGTTAAGAGACATTACTGAATGTCAATTACCATTTGGTGGAAAAGTTATTGTGTGTCGAAGAAATTTTCGACAAGTTTTACCAGTAGCACAAAGAGAAACAAAAGACGATATAATGAAGGCAAGTTTAGTTTTTTTCGCATTTATGGCATTCTTTTACATTGCGAGCATTAATCGAAAATATGAGAGCTAAATTAGATCATTCTGTGAATATTCGCTGAAGATTGGGAATGGAATACAGAGAAAACATTCATGCCAAATGATTACACTTCCTGAAGATATTACCATCAATTTTGAAGATGAATTTAAATCATTGAAGGAACTAATTGACATTGTGTTTCCCAATTTCCAGACATATAGAGACAACTTACATATTATGATGAATAGAATTATTTTAACCCCAAAATAAATATGTAGATTTAATAAACAATATGTTGCTTAAAGAAATTCCGGGAGAGAAAGTTACGTATTTTAGTTTTAGATGAAGTGATAGATAAAAGTGAAGGATTTATTGATGAAGATTTTTTGAATATTCTAACTCCAAATGGTATACCACCACATGAACTCATACTGAAAAAAAATTGTCCAGTTATATTGCTCCGAAATATTAATCCTGCAGAAGGTTTATGCAATGGGACTAGACTTATTTGTCATGACTTTAAGCATAATGTTATCTTGGCTAAAATTGGGATAGGAGAATATTGTGAAAAGTAAGTATTTTTACCTAGAATTCCATTCATTCCTCTTGAAGGTGATAAATAGTTTGTACCATTTAAAAGAACTCAATTTTCAATTCGTCCATGTTTTGTAATGACCATTAACAAATCTCAAGGTCAAACTCTAGATTTTGTTGGCTTATATCGTCCAGAACTTGTATTTTCCCATGGCCAATTGTATATTGCATTGTCCCGAGCTAGAACAAGAGAAAATATAAAAGTTCTGATTAAACCTTTTGTCAAAAACAAATCACATACTTGTTGTATCCAAAATATTGTCTATCATGAAATCTTGAATTTAGTTCACTTCATCTGATGATGATTTCTAAGGTATATTCTTAATTGTTTGTTATAATTCTTTATTGATTATATTTGTTATTACAAACACAAAATTAATAACAAATCTGGACTTATGACTTCTTATTGTCATGATAAAATATTGATTTTGCAAAATTGTATCTTTGCAAAAAGGATTTTTGAAGTTATTCTTTCCAAGAATATATTAATTAGTCGTTATGCTTTGTATTTTCTGAATACAAGTATTAATCACACATAACTTTTTGAATTGTCTTACTTTTTTCTGTTTATTAATGGTCATTTGTTATTCATATTAGGCTGTGTAGCTGTCAAATGTTGCATGGTTAATATGAATACAATTGGTAAAGCTGATATTTAGAAGTTTAGTTAGAGATGGAGGGAACCATTTCTGGAAACCACTTGTGTAAGTTTTTTTTAACTTGATTTAATCATTTTACCATAATTATATTCTTATGTAAATATATTCCTACCATAAGTGATATTATTACAAAACGCATAGGTTCATTCTACTTGAAAACATCATCTTGAAGGTGAATCCATCATACAACGTATTAGTGTATATATATATATAAGAGAACGTTATGTTTTAGTTAGAGACATTGTAGTATTTTTGAATTGTAAAGAAAGGAAAAAATGTAATTTCTATGAAAATCTTTATGCCATAATTTAAGATAATTAACAAAAAAGTTAAATGGATAAACATAAATATTAAACATTATTGGTGTGAAAAGTTTCATAGACGAGTTAGAGTTCCATCGTTGTGTGGTTTTTTTTTTTTTTTGTAAACCATGAACATTGGAGACTCGCTATTTAATAATTCACATACGCATGTATCTCCGATTTGTAGTTCCTTTTTTGCCAAAAAATTGCCCCAACATACAGTAAGACGGCGTATCACATTGTTTGGTCTTGAATTTGCAGTGATATCCCAG